TAGCATGGTTCAAATCGTACTTATCTGACCGCCATCAATTTGTAGCAGTGAATGAAGAGGTATCATATCGATCACAAGTGCACACAGTAAAATCACCAGTGTAAAACATGCAGTGTTAAATGTTAATAATTCCCAAAATGTTGAATTAACAATCTACAGTGTTGATGAGTACACCCTGTCTGTGTAGTTGCAGGGTGCAACATGATGTGATTTTATTTTACACTAAAAGTGCAAAAAGATGCGCCAAATTGTCTTGACTCCACCCTCAACGACTTCTGCCCAGTGTTGCCAATTTAGCAATTTTGTTGCTAAATTTAGCAACTTTTCAGACTACCCTAGCAACTTTTTCTTCCAAAAGCACCTAGCAACAAATTTAGCAATTTTAAAAATGTATTTGGCAACTTTTAGCAACTTTTGATAAGTGACTTTCAGACAAAAAGGTATACATTCTTTCATATTAGCATAGCAGATTGTCCCTTATTTTTACAGACTTTTCTTAAGAGTGTAGCATACTAACTTACTACTAATACACTGCTTAAAGCATAATTGTTGAGAATGTGTAGAATTACTAGGTTACTAGCTATTAAAAAACTTAAAATTGTAATAATTAAAAAATGTGTAAGTGTACAATAATTCAATGTATTTAATAATAGTTATTCATATTTTAATATTATATCATGCATGTTACAAACAAATCTAAATTGACATGTATAAAATATATTTTTTTGCTGCGATTTGATGATGTGACTCGTACTAATGTCTTTATACAGCCTTTAATGCTGTTGTAAATAACAACTAAACATAAATTATTTTAATTTTATCAAAAGAGTGGGCACAGATTTACAGAGATATGGTCACAAAAGAAAGAAATAAGAGAAAGCGTGGTCCACTCCGGTGAGAATAAGCTAGTTTATTTTGATTCAAAATCTTGACCACCATTCACTGCCATTACAAAGCAGGACATTTTTTGATAGAACTCTGATTGTATTCATCTGAAAAAAGAAAGTCATATACACCTAGGATGGCTTGAGGGTGAATAAATCATGGGGCAATTTTCATTTTTGGGTGAACTATCCCTTTAAGGCAATCAGCTCAAAATCCAATTCCATATGGACCTGGGTGGGGCCCACAATTCTCTTCATTTTGGGTCAGCCATTGGATTCAAACCTGGGAATGGTATACAATTTTGTGTAAATTGTATGGTCCATCTCTAATATAAACATCAATACATTATTATTGTGTTATACTATGCCACAAAACAATTTTTGTGAAAAATTTGCGCTTATTCATAGAAGGAGCAGGATCCATCACGTCAGAACAATCTTGTAAAATGATGTTATTTAACATCTTGCTGTTTCTTGATTTAAAATTACTAAATTTAATGTTGCTCAAAAGACCTTTAAGATGTGTTATAGTTCTACAAGACTTCTTTTACCGATTCTTTTACAGTCTCTTCGGCCTCCCTCCCGGACCTTGTGGTCCGGGGCCAAAAAGCTGGGGGCCCCTAGAATCATCACCATGTTACACCCCAGTTTTCCATAATAAAACAAAACATTTAATCTAAGGGGTATTGTGGTTTTACAATTTTCTCTCAATTTAAAAAGTAGCTATGACTTTCTAATTTCTTGAAAGTGATGACAGAGAGGGTTAGACAAAATAGACCTGACCATTCCATCCCCTCATGTTCTCATTTACAGTAAGAAACTGTATCCGTGGAAAATGTCTGACTGTAACCAAATGGCTGTAAATTTACAAACCTATAACAATGAAAGCCGTTCTGAACCCGTTCCCCTCCCCCATGACATGCCCGTTCACAGTAAGAAAACATATTTGTAGACAACGGTTTAGTACTGTTTCAAAAAAGACTGTGAACTTACAGTATTTTTCATTGTAGAGTTGTGTCTAAAATGGCCCTTAATCAAAAGGCAATTAAAACTGAAAAACTGTAACGTGTTTAACATGTAATACATTTACAGACATTAAGCTCCCCCTAGTGTACAAATGTTGTATTACAAATTTTAGTGTCGTTCTAATGCCTTATGTCCTTTTTTCTATTTCAGACCACAAAGGGAGATTTTTTTAGATGTGCTGCTCATGTTCGTCCATATAATGGCAGTGAACACTGACCAGCTTCAAGCTTAAAAAAATGCAAAAGTATAATGAATGAGCAGACTATGAAAGCGTAAGCGTAATTTATTCCTGTGATGGCAAAGCTGGAAGAACATAATTATGCCAATAGATGGCGACAAGTGAGTGTCTTTTGAGTGCCATTTAATACTTAAACTAAGGCAAAAATACATTAAAAACAGGACTATTGTGATATATTATTACATTTGATTATTATTACATTTTAAAATAACTGTTTTCTTTTTTAATACATTTTTAAAAAATTACTTTTATTAATTTTATTTTTAAATTCTTTTAATTTTTTTCCTGTGATGGCAAAGCTGAATTTTCAGCAGTCATTACTCCATTCTTTGATGAATAGAACGTTCAGGAGTAGCATTTATTTTAAATAGATGTTTTTTTTCAGTGCATGAAGAACATTTCTAATAATTGGAGAGAATATCTCTCTTAAATGCTTCATAGTGAGGGGATTTATTCACTCTTAGGTCACTCTAACGTTATATTGCTCTGGGCCCCTTACCTTTTCAAATAAGTTTAGACAGGTATTGGTGGGTCCTGTTGTTTATTATTGGTCATATTTGTCATATTCTACATAACCTGTAATTTCTCCACCTTCTAGTGGCTGTTCTGAGTTGAGCTTTGAGGTTCACAGTGTTCTCACGGCCTCTGTTGTTCTGAAAGGAGAGTTTCCTGGTCGTTCAGCCCTTTATGCTCTTCTGTGAGGAAGGCGGCCGCTCTTTGTCCCGGCGGGAGGTTGTGCGCTGTCTGTGGGGGAGGGTGTGTGACATGTAACCAAGAGCGCCTCTGCGTCATACCGAGCGGTCCAATCACAGCTAGAAGAGAATGGTATACAGTATACAGTTCAGAGAATGGTAGGTTAAACCTACACAAAACTACTGGTTTTAAAATGTCCTGGTTTTAAAGGTTTACAGGTTTAGGTCAGCATGTTTTACAGTCACATTTGATACAAGTGAGCAGAATAAGTAATTTATCCACTTACCACCTATGTGAAACATAGCTGGGAGTCAGTGGTATATCTAGCCCTCGTCCGAGCTCTCTGTTCGTGCTTGCTTCGGCAGCACATATACTAAAATTGGAACGATACAGAGAAGATTAGCATGGCCCCTGGCGCAAGGATGACACGCAAATTCGTGGAGCGTTCCTCGTTTTTATTAATCATTAATTATTAATTATGAATTTACAGTAATATTTCATATTTTACACTATCAACTGAAAAAGCCTGCAGCGCGCAAGTCCGCCGCTAGATGGCAGCATTGCACTGGCAGTCTCGCATTAGAGCGGCTCACAGCACAACTTTCACATTCAACTCGGATTTAAAGAAGTAATAGGGACAGAGACGGCTTTTTCCCAGCAAAAAAATGTTGTAAGTATTCGCAGTGATAGCATTTATCATCCTGATGTTTCTTTAGATTATTTAATCTACCCGTATTTAATCTGAGAGTTGTTAATGTGTTAGCATCGGTAATGGTAACTCTGAATCTTCGTTCCTTTCGAGTCAAACCAGCAGATTTCGACACGAATTCAATCCAAAATAATTATATAAAATAAACACTAACGTGTAAAATAACTGAAATTTACTTACCTTACTTATGTGTAGTTTTCGCATAGCTTGGGTGCCAAATTTGCGTCGTTTTCTTTGGCTTGTGTTTTTCGTTTGTACCTGGAAACGCAGAGCGAAACAAGAATTAAAACACGTATTTTAATTTCCTACCACAAAAAAATGGTGTTGCTAAATAAATGTTATCGTATATTGCTTCAGTGCTTCATAATTCAGAGGATCACCTGTGCTGTGCAGGACAAACGCTTCTCTTCATTCAGCGCTTAAGATCTACCTTCGAGTACGGTATGTGTGTGTCACCTATCAGATTTGAGTTTTGCCATAACGTACACAACAACGAGTTGGCGCTACAACTGTATTGCAAAACTAAATAGGCCTTACAGATGTAAATACGACTGGATGTCATATTATTTGTTAACCATTTTATTAATCTAAACGTCATTTTACACATTTATGCCCAGTTGTCTGCATATTGAGTATTGTCTTTGAAAAGAAAAGAAAAACATACAGGACCCAATATATAAAGTGTAAGTTTGATGTTTCTGAGACTTTATTTATTTCAAATTTCCAATGTTTTCACAGGTTTTTTGCTCTTGGATCGATTGCAATATTTATAAACAATTATTTCTAATTTTAGTATATGATTTTATTAAAAAGCAAAATAATAACCATCAATCTCATGTTTGTGTTGCGAATTCAGGAGAGTCAATGGTATGTTTGGGCCAAAGATTTACACCAAAGCAACTCAAATCAAATTGTTCAGACCCTACAAAAAGGAAAATAAGAAGGACAACAGGGAAGGAGAGAGAATGCGCTTCCATGCATATCAAACACTGAAAGGCCAATAGAACATTCTTGACATTATCTTAATTCTAAGATCTTTAAAGAATGCAGTCAAGGTTTTCAAAGTATATCACCGCCTGAGACTAGATTAGCAAAATCTCAGTTTTATTTGTTATTAACATTACATTTAGCAGACGCTTTTATCCAAAGCGACTTACAAATGAGGACAATGGAAGCAATCAAAATCAACAAAAGAGTAATGATATGCAAGTGCTATAACAAGTCTCAGTTAGCTTAATGCAGTACACGTAGCAAGTTTTTAAAATTTTAAATAATAAATAAAAAGAAAACAGATAGAATAGAAAAAGAATAGAGCAAGCTAGTGTTAGAGGCCTTTTTTTTTTGCTTTTGTTAGTTGAATAATAAATAAAAAGAAAACAAATAGATAAAATACAAAAAGATTAGAGAAGCATGTTTTTTTTTTAGTGATACTCAAGTTCAAATCAAAGTTTATTTGTATAGTGCTTTTCACGATACAAATCGTTGCAGAGCAGCTTTACAGGAAATTAAGTTTCTACAATATATTTAGTAGTAGCTCGTAATGTGGGGTTTGGGTTTTGTTTCATGTTCATGTTTTCCATGTCTTTTATTTTGTAATTGTTTCACCCTCAGTGTCATGCTTCCCTTGCCCTCATGTATCTCTGCCTTGTGTATGTGTCATGCTCTCATTGGTTATTGTCTAGTCACGTGATTCCCTTGTCTGTGTTATGTTCTCATTGGTTGCTTTAGTCATGTGCCTTGTTCCCATTGGTTTGTTCTTGTCATGTGACCCTCTTGTTTGCTATAAGTAGCCATCATGTTGCCATTGTCTCTTGTCGTGTATTGAAGTTTTAACCCGCTGTCGGTGAGTCTAGTTTGTTTATGCCTCGTCAAGTCTGTTCATGCCTAGTCAAGTCTGTTCATGCCTAGTCAAGTCTGTTCATGCCTCGTC